AGGTTATTTTCAATCAGACTCCATTGTGCCTTCAACAATACACAGTAAAGTGCCCGAAGAATATGCTCCCTCTCAGTTTATATTTCGCATTGATTTATGTTTCACTTTGTTGGTTTTCACCTAATTTGTGTATCCTGTTATGCGTATAGGGTTAGCCCATGTAAAAAAAAATGCAAGCGCCTTAATTTACACTGGTCTGGTAATAACAAGCACAATAGCGGCATAGAGTAATGTATTTAGACTGCTGCAAGCCCTTTACAATGGAATATCTTGCTGAGGATATAGGCTTACAGAGGGCAGTGCATACTGTACTATGCTTCAACGTCTATGCTCCCTGCCATCATCTAGCCACACTGACCAGCGAGGTGAAATATGGTTATATAACCCCCACGACTTATATTGCGTGGGGAAGCCCTATACATTTGTATAAACAACTGCTGAATCGACTACACATTCTTCACCGCAGTACAGTATAGCCTTCAGCAATCTGGAACGACACGATGGTATAAAGGTGGGCCACATTCCATTAAAACAAGGCGTAAAGGCTGCTCGATCGCCTTATACCATCGTGGTATCAGTTTGAGAATTATCTTTACGAGTTGAGCACACATTTATCCCTTCGCGTCATGTGCAAACGCACCGGGGCACGATGAGGCCGCCATTTAGGGCCCTCGAATGATCAGGAGGCAGCCGTCGTCCATCAAGGTGACGCTTTGTGACGTCACGCGGTGAGTCCAACGCCTCACACGTGAACTGATCTGGTCGCCCAATCGGACATCATTCCGTCTTGCGACATGTTCCTGTCCAAGACCATTTACTCGTCTTAATTGTCAATGTCTCAGATTGATGTTTGTTCTCTGATCAGTGTGTTTCTTTGCGATCTCTCAGTGATACAATGTGGATTTATATGGATGTGAAGTGACTAACTCGGAGACGATAAGGCTTGGAGGCACTTTTATTTAACGAACACCATCGGGATAATATACACCCTACGTGGGTACACTACTGTCACTCGCCTATACACAACTCGACGTGGATTGCTAGTCTTTCCAAATACACTAACCGTCTAACACTGACGGCGCTGAACCGAGACAGACAACAATTATCTAGCAGCGCAATATCTAGTGAAGACGACAGCGACAATGGCGACGAGACAACAGTGACGATGGCGATGATCTTGAACAGCACGCCGGGGATCCCACTCCAGCAACCGCCACAAGGTCCCTCACAGGGGCCCCTCTTATACTCTCCGCGTGGCCTCGCTCTGCCCTCTCTGGAACCTACTAGTGTCCCCCTCTTGTGTCTATCATGGCCTGCTGACTTCAATACTTGCCATACACCGCAGTTCCCCTTTTTCGCCAGCAACCAGCACTATGCCACTACAGATGTATATGAATGTGGATTTATATAAATGGATGAATGTATTTGCGTGTTCAGTTTCAAATGCAAGGAGCTTCGCTGTCAGTGATTGAAAATCACGATTATAAATATAATCCCCATCGTCATGAACTTGACTGTTAAAAGCAGATAATCTGTAACTTTTGCTGCACAGTATGAGCGAACATTCCGGGCAAAATCTCTTATTCGCAGCACAAAAGAGAAAATATACAATGCAACACTGCTAAAAAATTCCGTGCTCTGAAGAAAGTACATTTCCAAAATCGGTAGCTTATACACCGTCTTAATTCTAGAACAAAGAGTATTTTCGGCCTGTTTAAAGTTCAGTTAATCCATAGGGGCTGATTTGCGATTGAGTCGGCATTATTCGTGACAATTTTTCGAATAAGACTTAAGTATAAACGACATGAAGCAATTTCAACAAGGAACAATGTCACATTGTCAGAAAAAAAACACTTAAGTGGCATCTGGGTCCAATTTCCTTATCTATTTAAACACGTCTGGCCCTCTGCAGCAGTGGCACCCAACCTCGCTCTACCTGTGGGCCACTGTCAACTCTCATCATGTTCGTAGACAACCATACACCGCTAACAGATAAAAACAAAACCTACTAAATCGTAGTGTCTGACATATCTGAACAGTTTCGCGGACCACACTTCCCACGGCCCCAAACTATTTTTGGACCAGTTGGGAACAGCTGTATTATAATAACGCCAGCAGGTATCATTGTTCATGAAGGACAGCACTGGCTAATGACGACTGTATACTGTACCAACAACTGCATTGACAATCACTTGAGCACTGCAGCGAAGAGTGGTGACTACACTGTGCTGATGAGTCCTAATGATGACGAAAGAGGTTGTCTGTCGCTGCATCACTCCTGCCCGTAAGTTGGTCATATTTGCTCATATATTTTGGTGACCTAATATAAGAAGACCACAATGCACTTAATTCATTTCTGATGGCCTTTTGCACATGCACAAATAGCAGTGTTTAAAACTTCATTGTACTATGCTTTTTGCAGTACTCACAGATAGTCAATGGGCCCAGACGTTTCACCTGAGGTGCTATGAGTTTAGTGGTTCCAGTTTATTTTGTGTGGCCAATATGTGACAACCATTTGAAATTATTAGTTTATCAAGCAAATCACTGAAAAAGATGCTGCTATACCTGAGGTGGTACCAATTTTGGCTCTGGTTCATGAACTATGAATGGGACATCGTTCTATCTGGTGACTCGTTGCGATGCATTCGGTCATTGCAGAACTATAGACTGCGGGTGGCGCTATGGTGCCGCCGTTCTCGAATAAGTGACAAAAGCTGACGTGTGTCTGCTGTGGGTTTAACAACAACAGTTCCTTCCATTCATATCGGTTAAGGCTCAAGATACAAGCATCGAATCACGTGGGAATGGATGTTTGCTCGATGTTTCAAATGATTATATAAAGTTTGTAAAGAAACTACCAGTTATTTTAACGAGAGAAATAAACTATAGTTTGTATGTATTTCCTCTGGGTAAAGCAATTTTTCAGAGGCGACCTGGCCACACATAATAGCTCATCAAAGTGGTTTTACATATATGTCAAATATATATGGGGAAGAGTGAACATACAAACTCCAAATCCACAGGCGTCAGGGTTGGATCGAACCCACGTCTTCCTGCGTATTAGACGAGGGAGATAATATCTCGCCACGGCGGCATACTATCTTCGTGAAAATGTTGTACTTTGACCAATATTCAGGGGCTGTGTGCAAGGGCCGTGGGGGAAGGGCGAGGGACAGGCATTTACAAGATTCGCTATATTATGGGCCAAAGTTATCTGCCGAACATGACAGATCCAACCACATGCCAACGTTGATCCCACCTTAGCATGTTTACTGGGGGCACTCATTCTAGTGGTTGATTGGCGAGTTGGTTACGGTTCGGGTTAATGGGATAGCTCTTCATCGTAGCCGCTGCAGTCGTCGCTTTTCCCCGCATGGGTGGTGTTCACATTCTGAGGCCATGCAGACAAGGGTTAGGGTTGAGCAGCAACGCCGTGGTTTTTGTTCCAGCCAGCGGGTCCGATTTGTACAACATTCGATGCAACTTTATATTCTCATCATTCTCTTCATCACTTATTTTTTATTCTCAGGTTATTAAGAACTCCAGGTGGCTAGGTGAAATAACATGGCGACATCATTATAGCTGGCGGCGGCTTGTGGGGGAGACCATCCAGCACTGGGTTGACCATGGCTGATTATGATGATGAAGAACCCATTAGGAAGAGATGCTTATTTGCAATGGGGATATAAAATGGGGAAATTGTAGTTGTTTGCTAATTAAGTTGCAATCGGTGTCAATTTACAATCTTGGATGCAATGTGGGTATTAAGTCACTGGTTCCGTGAATCTCGCGAAAAGAAAGACAGTTGTGATGAAATTAAGTGACGTTTCCATGGATGGACCTTCATCGAAACTCAGATACTAATTGGAATTCTGCTCCCCAAAGTAATTGTGTTACCTTCCTGCATATTTGACACACGCGCGCTACCTGCTAAACAAGACAAGGAACCCCATTATGAGTGTGCTCATGCTGTACATAATTGCTAGTTCATTATGATGAAGCGCAAGTCTAGCCCACATATGGAAGCGCTGTGCTCATTTACTGCAATTAATTCTATACTTGCCGCTGCCTGAGTGGTTTATAGGGACGAGACATTCCTCAGCTCTGCATTGTCGAGATAAAGACTCTCTACGGAACGTGGACCAAACTGGCACAAGGCATTGCGATATAGTACACAGTGTGTCACGTGAGCAACAAACACTTCATGCACTTAATTATAATCTCTGGTAATACAGTATTACAGTATTTGAATATATTACATACTCTTCGTGGTCCCTTTAGGCGCATGCTTGTCTGAATAATATAATTTAGACAGCTTCCTCCATTTGGCTTACAGAATGCTGCAAAGGCAAACATGTCTGGTGCAACTTTGCCATTTATGGTCGCGTGCCTGCAAGATCTTTCACGACATTTTGACGCTTAAGTGATCGCAGTGACGAGTGAATAAAATCAGAATCTTTTTTTATCCTGTTGATATCCGATTAGCTAGTAAGCTCTTTTTCACAGATGTCCAGTATCCTGGACAAAAATCTCGCCCCACGTTTTAACCCTGAAAACCTAGGCCCAAAATGCAACCCTTAGACCCATCCCTAAAATTCAACCCTCAAACGTAGCCCCACAATCCAACCACCAACCCCAGTCCCAAAATCTAACCCCCAAACCCAGCTCCAAAATCCAAACCCATCCCTAAAATTAAACCCTCAAAACCAGCCCCACAATCTAACCACCAACCCTAGTCCCAAAATCTAACACCCAAACCCAGCTCCAAAATCCAACCCTCAAACCCAGTTCCACAATCCAACCCTCAAACCCAGCCCCATAATCCATCCCTGGAATCTGGCCCCACAATCCAACCGTCGAATCTAGCTCCTGGCGGTAGTATTGTTGGAGTGTTGTTTAGCGTGAGTGCGCGTGTGGAAAGGGAGGGAGCGATAGAGGGGGCGGGGAATGGGGGAGGGACGGCTTTGTGGTTGAGAGAGGGGGGAGAGCAGGGGGGATGGCTGGGGATGTGAGACGCACACAATGCAAGCTGTGCGGGTGAAGCACTCTCATCTGGCTGCTGCTGTACTCGTCGATGTTCGGCAAATTGAATGCAGCACTGCCGCGGATGCGAGGATCGTTGTGAATAGGATGTGAGAAGGATGTGCGAGACGGACATGAAGGAGCGAGTTCCTCTGACGACGTCGGTTGGGGTCTGCGCGGCCCTGCAGGAGCCGCTCTGCTCATGGTAACCGCGCGCCGCATCGCACATTAACACGCGCCACGGAGCTCGTGCGTGTGGATGGGTGCCACAAACGAACGGGGAGCATTTCGCCGCCGTTTATTACGAATTCGAAACGTGTACGCGCGATAGCGCATTTTGTGTTTGCGGTATAGCACATCTACACGCAGATACTCGTTTATTTATTGCACATATTAATATATACAGCGACATAGCAGTGGACACACCATGGCTGCTGACGATGACAGGCACACACACACACGTGCGCTTGTGTTTATAACGACAGACGTACATGGGTGTCTGCGCACAAGGTACGCACGCCTTTGCGAAAGACGTTTCGCCACCGCTAGTGGAGGGAACCGCACGCACCACCGCGCGGACCCTACGGATGCCGCCTCCTCCTCCTCCTGCGCTCATTCACTCCGCGCGAGATAGGGGCCCTTTCCTGTCCTGCGCAATCACGGCCGCCTGCCACCATACGGCCCCTTTGTCATGCGCCGCATCCTCGCGATGACACGGGACGGGGGGCGTTAATTGCTGAGCGCGCGCACATGACGCGAGCCCCACAATGTTTCGCATTGTGCCGGAGGCTACGCGCACTGGCAGCGGAATGCCCGTTATGCCGGTCGCCCCGCGCGCTGCTATTGTGCGCACCGTGAATTCGTGAACACTGCGGCGCTCTTGCGCTTTGCGGCACGCACGAGCCGACCCCTCCCCCCGTCCCCCAACGCCCGGCGTGTCACTCACGACTCGAGATTCGGTAGAAACGCAATACACTACGCGCAGACTTCATCCGTCTCATCGTTGTGGGGTGTTTTTAATGGGTTTATTAATCGGGATCCAATGCCGTGGTGGAATTAGTGAGCGGATTATTTTTTATTTTAAATAATTCGCTTGGCACTGCCGTGACAAACATGTAAATTCGTTTTTTTTTCGATACATAGATCTCTGTTGTCTTCTTGCTCACAATGCATAGTGAGTCGAATTCATTGGCTGCTAACATAAATCGCACAAAATTATAATGGTAGGCTGAGAGGTCGCTTGTTCACTTCAGTTGCCCTGATGGTCCGGACCAATTAATAAGACTAAAGTTTAATTTGACACATAGCGCCTTTCATGCAAATTGCATCCTACTATCATCGCTGCCGAACGACATACAAGCTGGAAGGCAGCACAGTGGTGAACCGCCGCTACCAACAATTTCCCAAGCTCTGCAGTCCTCTATAGATGTATTCAACCAATTAACGGTGTTTCGTACATGTGGGAAGAAACTGGAGCACGCGTGTGAGGGGGCATGACACTATCCCCATACAGGACCGTCCATAGGGAGGGGGGGTGCGGGGCCTGGGGCAAAGCACGCTGTGTGGGTCCCCCGACGCCTGCAAACTAAGCCGCAAGTATTGCATCTGAAACCGGGATGTCGAAGCGCCCTCCCCCCAACCCCAAAGCGCGAGGCCTGGGGCGGTCACCCCGATTCACCATATAGATGGCTCTGCCCACACATAAGGGACAGGTTATATTGATCTACACTTTGCTGGATTGCCTTCTCCCAGCAAAACAGCGTATGACACCTCAGTGTTGGATAACAAACATGTGTAGTGTCGTAGGTCTCTTCTTTCTCTCTCTCCCTTGTCGAGGCGTGTGTTTGTGGTTGGCGTTGCGGCGCACACACTCAGTCAAAGACGAGGTAGTCGCAGGAGGCACCGTCCTTTATTATGTTCACGCCACCAACTCCGGCCCCCTCTCTCACGACCATGTTGCTGTACGACCCGGCCCAGACACGACCCTGTCCGCATTGCACCGATGGCGTCGACCGAGAGAGCCAACTACTATTCGGCCATGCAATGATCGGGCGAAGGCGATTCTGCAACCCAAATTTACACAACTCCGGTCAAATTCCGACCATAATGGAACCGCTGTAGAACAAACACCGTGGAAATTAAACGACGTTGGACGGAGGAAAATCTGCTGGGGAGGCATCGATAAGGATGGGCGCGTGGGAGGAAGTGGTTAAGGGTCACACAGCGTGCATCTCCTCCACGCAATGCCGACCCAAAGCAACCGCCGGGTTCATAGCATAAAGACAAAGATCCCCCCTATAGCCTTAACATACTGTTGGGGCAAGTGCTGTTATCGAGTCGCACCTATGGAGGCGAGCACCTACGACGTGCATAGCGCAGTACACACTCAAACGCATGTAACGTTCGCACGTGTTTATGTGTACGCGTTTGAGTATTTGCGTACATGCTTATTTGTGTGCGTACGAGTTTGCATGTGAATCTATATACTGTGTATGTGTCCATCAGTTTGCATGTGTTTATGTGCGTATGTGTATATATGCATGAATCGTGTGTGTATAATTATCGATGTATGTACTGTATGAATCTGTTTACGTGTGCATGTACAGCGCGTACGTGTATACATAGTATGTGTGATGTATGTACTGTGTGTGTGAATCTGTATAGGCAAGTACTCTGTGCGTGGGTGGTGGTAGCGGTCAGCGCGCTGCGCTACGAACCCTGCGACCCGAGTTCGATTCCCGCTCACGGCCACCAACATTGGTAACGTGGGTGTTGACCACCTCCACACCGACCTCGTGTACTGTTCGGGCCTTCATAGGTGCTCATAGCTGTCAACCCACACGGTTTACCCCGTATTCGTGTACAGGGAAATTTGAGTTTTCAGGTCCGTAAGGTGTACAACCGTTTCAATACGGGCACATTTTGTGTCAATTTCTTTGGTGTTTTTCGCTTGTGATGGTGAACGTTAAGATTTAGACGGGGCACGGGGTGACCAATAAGGTCTGAATTGTTCTGTAACAGGGGCTGACAGGTATGGGTGCCGCTCGCTAACAGCACTTTTGCCCAATAGTCTGTTAAGGCGATACTAGGTGTGAGGGTAGCCCAGATTACAACTCCACACGTCAGCTCCCTTCAACTGCGCAAAAAAACGCGTGCAGAGGCGTCACGGATGCAGCGCGGCCACCCCCTACCGACCGACCTACCTACCCACACTACCACTGTATTAACCCACAACACGATTTATGTTGCACACTCGAAATGAAGGACGTGGGCAGGTGCTCCAAATCGAGGGCAAACACATTTATTGTGGTCAATCTGTAAAATGCAACAGCGTGTGTCGCACAGCAATCTTCAACCGAGTCGCCATTAATCACGTGGCTGGTGGACAAGTCAGGTTAATCATTAAAAGTTTCTCTTAAACCCAATGCTACTACTGATAAACCATCTTTGTCTTTGACAATAACCTTTGCACATCACTATTCGAATCTTACTTTAATCCTAAGCTGTATGTCTATACCATCCACTCATATCGGTATCTTACACCCATTACCTGTACTGTATGTGTATAGCATACGTACTGTACTTGTCACCATTGTACAACTTACTACTATACATGTGTTCTATTCTCAATAGCATTGCAAGTAGTCATACTCTGGGTACATGGGCATGGTTATAGAATAAACAGTATTAGGGTTAGATAATTCCAAGTATTAACTACAGTGCGTCATCCTTTACAGTGCACAGTGCTAAAACACCTCCTATTGAATATATATCACAAACTAACAATTCAAAGCCAAGCCTGAAGTCGAGAACAAGTCTAGAACAATTCTATGACGATCAAAAACAACCTTTGGGTCTTTTACCTGTAAAATGCAACGGCACGTGTGTCACACACAGCAATCCTCAACCGAGTCGCCATTAACCTTGTGACTGGTGTACAAGTCCGGTTAATCAATAACCCTGCCAGCCACCCACAGTCCCAACTCAGTTCTCGCATGCTGGTGTACACACGTGCACATAAGGACTTTCACAAAACCATGCTTTACTCCCTTGCTGCACGAGGAAATAATTAAAAGAGTGGTCCATTCCTAATGTGCCACATTTTAATAAGTGAACGGCTTTAGCGTCGGCAGACGTATGGCAACGCAGGCGCTCTCTCTCTCTCTCTCTTTTTTATCTATCTTCTAGTCTTCTTCTATCTAGTCTTCTTCTTCTCTAGAAATATAAAAGTCAAAAATTGTCCGTTTGTGGGTTTGTGTGTGGTCGCTCACTTGGCTCTCCAACGGTGGGGTATACGGAAAAAAATAGCCAGGCACCACGCCGTAAGCCCCGCGGTCAGCAAGCGCTATTCCTTTTTCACTTCCGTCAACGTTAAATTAGTTAAATTAGCGATTTTTGTGCGCTTGACCATTTATTTATTTACGACGCGTGCACAACCATACCAACTCACGCGTCTTCGGTCCCCCCCCCCCCACCACGATGCGTGCAGTTACTCATTTTTACAGTCGCTAGATGCTAGCACTCTAGGCAGTAGACATTATATTGATTTTTTTATCACGCGCATCCGACCATACCAACTCATGCGCCTTTGGTGGGGGGGGAACATTTTCTTTCGCGTTAATTAAAAATGCTATAAAAATATTCACTGTGTGATGTCTCCCCCACCCCGATGCGTGCAGTTATTACTACGATACAGTCGCAAGATGTAGCAGGTACCACCACAGTCGGTATGCACTGCTGTAATCATAGCAGGTACCACCACAGTCAGTACACACTGCTGTTATATTTTTTTTAAGACCCAGGCAACGCCGGGTACTTCCTGCTAGTCCTATGTAAAATATAATCGCGCCTCTGCCCACGAGAAAGGCAAGCCCGACTTCCAAAAGCTGTCATCAATGGTGAGGTGCTCACATCCGTCCACAGTGTGTTCGTTCGACGGAGCCGCGCGGAGACGCGTATTAAGCATATAGAGTTGTAAACGTTTTTTTTGTTCGACTGTGTAATTGTAGATGTGTGTGCGTGTGTTGTAGTGTAGCGGTTTAGTGCTGCGCTATGAACCCGGGCCACCCGAGGTCGGATTCCCACTCACGGCCACCAACATAAGTGACGATTATTTATACCGGTCCTGGGCCTTCCCTTGGTCGACTCAGCCGCAAACGGGTACCTGGTGCGGTGTGCAGTAAGCATCGCCTCTATGGGGGAGAG